TCCTCCTCCTCCTCCTCCTCCTCCTCCTCCTCCTCCTCCTCCTCCTCCTCCTCCTCCTCTTCCTCCTCCTCCTCCTCCTCCTCCTCCTCCTCCTCCTCCTCCTCTCTCGTCGCCCTCCTGACCCCCTCGTCGTCCCCCTCCCCTCCTCGTCGTCGCCGCCCTCCACCTCGCTGTGGCAGTCGCCGTCGCCGTCGTCGCCGCCGCCTGTGCCGCCGAAGGCTGCCGAAGGCCGTCGAGCCGCCGCCCGATGGCGGCGCGTCCCCTCCTCGTGCGAGTCGGTGGGGGCGACGACGCTCCCGCCCTTCGCCTCGGGATCGCGGCCGCTGCCCTGGGGCACCCCCTCCTGCTCCTCCACCTGCTCAGCCTCCTGCTGCTCCTCCTCTTCCTGCTCCTCCTGCTCCTCCTGCTCCTCCTGCTCCTTCTCCTGCTCCTCCTCCTGCTCCTCCGCCTCCTCCTCTTGCTCGTCCTCCTCCTCCTCCTCCTCCTCCTCCTCCTCGTCCTCCTACTCCTCCTTTTCGTTCCACTTGTCCCACTCCTCCTCCTCCTCCTTTTCCTCCTCCTCCTCCTCCTCCTTCTCCTCGTTCGCCTTCTCCCACTCCTCCTCCTCCTCCTCCTCCTCCTCCTCCTCCTCCTCCTCCTTCTCCTCGTTGCCCTTCTCCCACTCTTCCTCCTCCTGCTCCTCCTCCTCCTCCTCATCCTCCTCCATCCCCTCCTTCCGCTCCACCTGAAGCGGTGAGGCAATGAAAATCTATGAGCCCGCCGGACGCGACCATCCCCCCCCCAGGGCCGGTCGGCCCTGGGGGCTTGATAAAACTAGTGAGCCAGGTGACTTCAAGGGCGGCCGTTTTGTCTTATCCCTTTCAACCCCTGAAGATCCAAACGGACTATTTCTGGCAGAGGAGCGAGGCGAGAACCCCTCAGAGGTAGGACAGTCGGGCGGAGGCGTTACCCCACCCGGCCTTCCGAGACCGATCGTGCAGACTTCGATTTGAATCTATCCGCCGCCGCGGCACGCCACGGGAGGTGCGGTGGTGCAACCCAGTGAAGTCCTGGGGCATCCCCATAGGGAAAGCCGACACGGGAAGCCCTCGCCCCACCCGCCGAGCAGGCAGCGCCTGAGCAGAACAGCATTGGAAGCTGGACGAATTCAGCAGCCTGGTGAGCAGACACGGTGTGCAAACACCCCACAATTTGGTGGCGAGAGGAGTGGCCAGCAGAGGCGACGAGGACGCTGCCGAAGAAGCACAAGCATAACTTGGTATGGCGAAGCACACCAATTACCAGAGACCCTTTAAGGAGGCAAATGCCGCCGCCTCTATGAACACGAAATCCACGAAACTGGACAGGAGGGCGAAATTCAAGTATAGAGAGAACTTGTTGTGACGACCTTGGAGCCATCTGCGAAGAAGAACTCCTCGGGGTAAAAGAGAACCTCCCCATCCAAGACGACGAACAAATACGGAGCACCAAACAAATCATTCAGTGCTGTGGAACCCGTGAAGCACTTGCCGAAAACATCAACGACAAAGCACGAGTAGCCCCTCTCGTCGTCGTGCCAGGCCAAGGGCTTCACAAGGCAGTGGTCCAGAATGTTGTCAACCTTGAAGCGGAATGTGCGAACCATGGAATCCGTGAAGAGACGGCCGAACAGGTCAACGACACGGTGCGAGTAGCCGCATTCGTTGTCGTGCCAGGCCTCGAACTTCACGAAACTCGCCCCACCCGTGACGAGCACTAACTCCCACACGAAGAAACAGCAGGGCCAGGTAATCGACGCGGCACGAGTAGCCCCCTCTCGTAGTCGTACCAGGCCCAGAACTTTACGAAAGTGGGGGGCAGAATGATGCCCGCCTTGGAAACGTAAAAGGAGGAGATGGGGCACGCCTCGAAGTCGGTAGACACGAGAGCCTCCCGCAGCAACACCTCCAAACATTCCTTCTGTACCGTGGAACCCGTGGGGATCTGGCCAGGTAGCATAACCCAGCTCTTCACTTCCTCGAGGCCGAGAAAGCGCTCAAGCCGCACACATCACGGTGGTACAGCGGCTGGGCTCTGGCGCAGGAAGGCAGGCGAGCGCGCAAATCCCGCCTGCGCCAGAGAGGTTTGAGTGCTCATGGCGAGTCGCGCTTGAGCCAGAATGGCTTCAACCAAAATGGCTACGGAGAAAGGGCGGTGGCCCCTGGAGTCACCCGGCTTAGGGGATACAGTGTAAAAAATGGGGACGGTAGGCGACAGCAGAGCAGGGATGGAGAAGGAGAAGAAGACGGACCGATCATGACCTCAAGAAGGGAGGGGTAGGAAGTGACGGATGAACCGGCGGCGGCGACAGTTTGCGGCTGCGTAGTGGCTGCGAGGTGGCAGCTGTTGGTGCGGCGGTGCGGCGGGGGTTCATGACCGCCCAACTGGAAGGCGCAAAAGACTCCCCCCCCTGCCCATAGGACCCCCCCCACAGGCGCCCCCCCACTCCAACGACGGGGACCTTCGCTTGCAAAGCAGGCGCCAAGGTTCCCAGAACGTGGGGCGGGGGGGCGCCGGGGGGGGTCCACCTGGCGTGGGGGAGGGTCGCGCCCTCCGTAGCAAGAGGGAATAACTATTCAGAATGAAGAGGGATGGAGGAGGATGAGGCGGAGCACCCAGCACCCAGACATCCGATGCCTCGATTTTTTTTAAATGCCCCCCCCCCCGGAAGCCCCGACCCTTCCTTCTGGGCCGGTTTTTTATCCAGAACCGTTCTTTGATGGTCCTGGGGCCTGGTGAGGGCCGCCAGGAGCCGAAAGGGGCCAAACATCATGGCGCGAACATGTCGAGGGAGAGGAGGGGAGAGGAGGAGGGGAGGAGGGGGAGGAGGAGGGGGAGGAGGAGGAGGAGGAGGTTAGGTTAGGACAGCCCCGAGGGGAAGAGTCTCGCAAGACTAAAACAAACAATGGGGGGAAGTGGCACCCTTCGGAGAGGGATTTGTTACCCTGGAGGACAGAGCTCCCCACACTCTGACCAGGGCCCGCGACGGGGTGCCACGACCCAAAACTACTCCTCAGCCTGGAGGGCCTCCTTGGCTCGCACTCGCTCAGCAAGGGCGGCCATCCGTCTCTCGTACTCAGGGACGGTGGGGGCACTCGAATGGGCCGAGGGAACAGACGTACAGGCAAGAGTCTTAGACCGCGGCTTAGGAACCACAGACATTGCAGTGACCGCAGCAGCTCTATCAATCAATTGACGGACACGATTGCTGGGGCCCAGGCCTCGCGAGTACTTACTTAGTACCTCGCGTCCCTTCCTAGAGGGACGTTGGCACTCCTTGTCAAGATGACGGGAGCACCTTTGGGCCCAGCAGCCGCAACGAACGCACAAAAAATGAAGCCTACTCAACTTGGCTTGCGATGGCTCTGGGGCTCTAGAAGGAGGAGGAGGAGGAGCAGGAGGAGGAGGTGGAGGAGGAGGAGGAGGAGGAGGAGGAGGAGGACGAGCAACAGGAAGGGGAGGAGGAATCTGCTTGCCGGCGGTGCCCGTCGAGCGTGGGCGGTCGCGCCACCAGGCCCGCAGCTCCCGCAGGCTTCCCGGGCGCGCCGCCCCGCCTGCCGCCTCCGCCGCCGCCAGGAGGGCGGCTGCCTCGCGGCAGGCCCCCGCCGCCTCGTCCTCTTGGGGGGGGGGCGGCGGGGCGGCCGGCGTGCTGCCGCCAGGAACGCCCCGGACACCTGGCGTCTCCAGAGGCCCCCGAGACGCCCCAGGGTGACCCCCAAGAGGCCCAGAAGAGGCCCAGAAGAGGCCACAGACCGCCTCCAAGACGCCCAGCAGAGAGGCCCAGAAGATGCCCAGGAGACGCCCCAGGATACCCCCGCGAGGCCCAGAAGAGGCCCCCCGCCCCCCCCAAACCGCCCCCACACCGCCTCCAAGGCGCTCGCCCTCGGGGGCCGAAACGGACCTGACGACCCGCGCCTCGTCGGCAGCTCCCGGCGTCGGAGGCGGGGCCATCCGAAGCTCCCCCAGAGGTCCCCAGAAGTGCTCCGCCCTGCAGCCGCGGAGGCCCCGCACGGAGCCGTCACACATCGAACATCTCCCGCAGACTCGCCCCGATCAGCGGGGATCGGGTCTCTTCCGTGATTTTCGGCCGCGGGGCCGTCCCCAGATCATGCGTTACCCAAAAATTTGGGTAACGGTCGGGAACGACCAGTAGCGACCGATACCGCGAAAATTTGGGTAACGGTCGGTAACGGCACGTTACCGAAAAAACGTTGATTTCGGTAACGGGCGGTAGCGGTCGGTAGCGGATTTTGAACGATTTTAATGTGAATTGTTAAAACCGTTACCGACCGTTACCGACCGTTACCGACCGTTACCGATCGATGTTTTGCATCATTGCATTGCAAAAAAACAGACAATCGTCATCATCATCATCATCATCATCATCATGAAGATCATCATCATCATCATCGACATCATCATCATCACCATCATCATCATCATATTCATCATCATCATACTCATCATCATGATCATCATGAACATCATCATCGTCATCGTCATCATCATCATCACCATCACCATATCATCATCATCATCATCATCATTTTCATCTTCGTCTTCATCTTCATCATCATCTGCGTCATCATCATCGCCATCGTCATCATGACCATCATAACGATTATCATTACCATCACCACCATGGCAACCACAATCACAATAGTCATCATCATCACCACCGTTCTCTTTTCACATCCTTTTTCTCCTTCCGAACACCCCCTCATTGTCCTCCTACTCCTCCCCATCCACTTCATACTCTTCCGTCCTCCCCTCCTACTCCTCCTCCTCCTCCTCCTCTTCCTCCTCCTCTTTCTCCTCCTCCCCGCCTAGTCCTCCTCCTCCTCCTCTTCCTCCTCCTCTTCCTCCCGATCCCCTGTGTCTTTTGGGCCTCCCACTCGGGCCAACAGGACCTCGACGCGCAAGGGCCTCACTCGGGGCCGCATTCCCACGTCGTCCGAAACCGTGAGCAACGTCCAGCGTGGCGAAAGCGAGCAGGAGGAGGAGGAGGGGAAGGAGGAGGAGGGAGGCGGCGCAGGGGGAGAAGGAGAAGGAGAAGGAGGAGGGATAGGAGACGCAGGGGGAGAAGGGGGATGTACCCTCAGGCCCAGATGCAGACTGCGAACTGCGAACTGCGAACTGCGATCATCGAACTGCGAACTCCGAACTGCGATCTACGAAAACTACGATAGAAGACAAACAATTAAGACCGTCGCGATGCCAGGGCCCCACAGGGCCCTCCAGCAACCGCCTGCCAGTGTTCCGAATTGCGTCCAGCGTGGCAACCGCCCATCGGATGGGCGCTAGCAAAACTTAAGAGGTTGGGGTTGCCCGACCCGACACGCAAAGACATCCTGGACGGCCCAGGGCTGCGTCGCAGCCAGTTTCCGAGCCGCGCCCAGCGTTGCGACGCCAGAAGGGGTCGGGGAGGTGGGGAAACTGAACTGTCTGACTGACTGATTGACTGATCAAAAAAGGAGAACGCCGTTTCTAAACGCGTTGCCCGCCCCGCGAGGTGAACGGCAAGCGTGGCAGGGCACAGGCGGAGGAGGAAAGATACACGTGTATACGCACATGCGCACGCGCGACTATACTTACATATGCGTACCCACACCATAGATACGCACATATATGCATACATGCGTATTTGCAAACATGCATGACTAAAAACATGCATATGTTTATACATACATACATGCATGCATACATACATGTATACGTGCATACATGCACACTCACATTTACACATGTGAATGCATAAATACTTACGTGCTTGCACACTCACCTTTACACATGTGAAGGCATAAATACCTCACCGAGATACACCTGGTCATACATGCGCGCGTGTGAAGAGCACGGGGCGAGGCCTGCGCAAAGCCGCTTGGCGAGCACAGCCGCCTAGCCAGCCGAACTGGATTTCAAGCAGGGCCTCCGACGCCGACTACCGCCGTTGACGGCCCCACTCCCAACTTCCCTATCCCCCCTCCCCCTCCCCACCCTCCGCTCCTGTCTCCTCCCGACACCATCCCTCTCCGATCCCCCCTCCCCTCCTCACCACCTCCTCCTCCTCCTCTTCCTCCTCCTCCTCCTCCTCCTCCCTAGACCCTTTCCTCCAGTTGTGAACCCGCCGCCTGAAGGCGCCCTCGGGCGATCGGAGGCAATGCTTGAAATTTGAATGGACTAATCCAAGCAACCGCGCGTGAACTCCAGACCCGCAGCCCCGAGTCAGGGGCAGGCGTAAGTTGATCTACCCGAGGGGCTGGGGGGCGGAGAGGAGGAGGGGGAAGGAGGAGGAGGAGGAGGAGGTGGAGGAGGTGAAGTGGAAGGAAGAGGATGAGGAGGAGGAGGAGGAGGACGAGCGCGAGGGGAGATTCCTAGAATGGGGGGGGGGGGGGATTGGAAAGGCAGAGGGGTACAAGAGTGGAGGAGGCTAGGAGGAAGAAGAGGGAGCGTGCGAAAAGGAAGAGGGAGAGGGGCGCGACGACGACGGCGCCTCCTCCCCCTCCTCCTCCTCCTCCTCCTCCTCCTCCTCTTCCTCCTCCTCTCCCTCCTCCTCCTCCCCCCTCCCCTCCTCATCGTCATTCTCTTCGTCCCCCTCCTCCTTCTCCTTCTCCTCCTCACCCCTCCTCCTCGCTCTTTCTAGTAGCCACCATAGGCGCTTTCAAATGGGTAGTGGCAGTTACACGACGAAGTCGTGCATATGCCTGCCACGCCGTATTCGCTCGGCAAGTTTACAACTCACAGACGAAATAGACGACCCTAGTGCGCACGCGGCCCCCACCCTAGTCACGAACCTCTGGTAGTCCTCCGCCTGGTAACACCAGACGTTCTTGGGGTTCAAGGGGGTCTGGCGAACTAAATGCCAAGCAAAATGATGTTTGTTGACAATCGACCACTTGAGTTTCCGCTGGTCCAGTGCATCCCGCGACAGGGCCTGGTAACAAGTCAAGAAATTGTCGGCTGACCGAATCAATTGCTGGCACTGGGCGTCCGACAGAAACATGTCGCCGTCGGCGATAATCTGATAGATCTGGCACAGGCTCTTGAAGCACAGTGTCCTAGTTTTCCTGATCTGGGTATCATCCTCGTAATCTTTGGATAACTGGTAGCACACTGTGGCCAGATGTCGCGCCTCCGCTGCTTTGATAGTCCTGGACAGTATGGGATAGTCCGAGTGCGGCGAGTCCTTGTTTTTCACAAAGGTGCCTAATCTCAATACCGAGATCCGATGGTCCAGGCCAGCAACTCGATATATATCCTGGATCCTCGCCCAGAGGCGTGCTAAAATTGCTGATCTGGTGCCGTGCTCATGTTCGAACACCACCTCGTAGAGCATATTCGCACAGGCATGACCCGTGACGCCCAAATCCATGCAATGCATGGTATCCAAGGCCAGTGACCGTAGGGTCACCCCCCAAATATCATAGATCGGGTGCGTCACACGATAGACGCGCTCGTGGAACTTCCAATGGTTCGGAGTCTCCTCGGGGAAACGGGGTGGACATTACACTAAGCACCCCCCTCAAACAAGGAGCCCATGGTGGGGGGGGTGGGGGGGGGGAACCATCCTCGACGAAATTGTTGTAGGCATTCTCGCCAGCACCCCTATGACAAGGACAGAGCCAGCAGAATTGGTTATCGCCATGGTAAGGAACCTGCAAGTGCGCCGCATAATAATCCAGATCGCCGAGCACTGCATACAAGAACGCCTTGTAAGGTCTGTCGGGCGAACACAGCCACTGTCCCGCAAGACGGGCCCGATCTGGATCCAACGCCTCACCCTTCCAATCCGCCGCCCCCGCGTTGCCGAGGGATATTGGGAAACCCGCGGTGGTGCCACGGCTGACCTACCTCTTGTCCCACGTTCCTCCTCCTCCGCCTCCTCCTTATAGGCTGTGCAGCTGCGTTACCTACGCAGCCTCGAAAACGCACTGGCGGCCGTGCAGAGCAAGAAGTCCAGGAGAGCGGGGTGGCGAAATAGAGATCGGGCGGGTGAGTAGGGTGGGCGGGGCGTCGGGCGGGGGGAGGGGGGGCGTTGGAGTGGGAGGGGCGGCGGCGGGATAGGAAGAGGGCGGGTGGGAGAGGGTGGGAAGAGGGGGTGGGCGGGAAGGGGGAGGTGGAAGCGAGGGAGGGAAATGGGGAAACGGGGGGAGAGAGGACACCGTCTCGAAGGGGCCCGAGTGGGACAAGGCGCGGCCCAACGCAGTGTCGTTTCAGGGGCGCGCAAGTGGGTTAGGCGCAGGCATGGATATTCCTGGTTGGGTGCTTGCCCTGCGCCAAGGCATTGAAGCTCCACCTGAGCACCTTCCAAATTTCAATGAAAGAATCACGGCCATCGTGATGGCGCCCTTTGGCAGTGATGCTATCTGGCCAAGAGGCCATGTTCAGGGTAAGAGACTTCGTTGTACCAACTGCTAATAACCCTGTAATGCTGATCGTCGTCAGGGAGTCGCGGCTGAGAAACTCCGCGCCGTCTCCATGGATCCTGAGCGGCACCAGCGTCCTCTGGCGGTCATGGACCGTCCAGCAAGGATGCCCCCGAAGGCGCGGTTCGCTCCTGAGATACGTTTTATACTGAAAGGCCGACACCTGGGGAGCACAATGCGAAGGACGTGTGG